ATATGTATATATATATATTACCCATGGGTAGAGAGAATTAAAATCGACATATTTTACATTTCCTTCGTGATACGATTTGACGGCGTTGGTACGCCCTCCGTAAAATGCATCACGTGGAATTAGTCATTCCTTCGTTTTATGGGAAAGCAAGAAAGTTTTCTGTTGTTCATTATCTTTTTTCATTTTTTCGAAACTCTTGCTCCCAGCTCTCTACTACGCTGTTGCCTAAAGATTGTAATTTCTCGGTACTCTCCTCAGTAGCCTGTCTCAGATCTCCCATGGTTATATTCTTGAAGGGATGGATTTGATCTGCTTCATAGCAATTTAAATAGCCATGGTAGAAGCAACCCTGAGAATAAAAATGAAGATTAATAATATACATACAAAAAATATATAAAATATTATAACCAATAGATTCATTACTAACATGCAGTTGATATACACGGTGTTCGTATCCTCACAGAAGCCATCAACAAAGGTATTTACGATCTTGACTTCTCCTGTGCCATTCGAAGCATTGTTAATTGATATTCCATTCTTGTCTGCAGTGAAGTCTATCCAACGAATAGAATCAGGGCTGTAGCTTACTTTTGCAGTATAGCCAGCTATGGGAAACATAGCGATTGTGTTTTCTTTTATATGGCTACTTCTAAAAACTGCCATACTGGCTGATGCACACCAAAAATATAAATGATTCATTATTTATATCCAACTACATACAACTTACAGTTACTTTAAAAACTGGAAAGGGTCGACACCTCCAACATCTAAGAATTCTTTTCTATAAATAAGACATGAACGTCTCAAGATGTCAACATCAGATCTATAGAATAAATTGAATTTTTTTGAAAAAAAATCCGATGATGGTAGTTGAATTGGTAATGGTAGACGAAGATGGTAGTGGTAGATGGAATTGGTAGAAAATAAAAATAAAGTTTTACTTACCTACAATAAGCCAAAATTTCTTCTTTTAAATTAAAGATTTTATCTTTTTGCTGCTCGTAACATTTGTAGAATTCTGCTCGAGCACTGCTACTCATGGCATCTGGTGAATAATAATGAGCTTCTGGTATGGATTCGATGAAGTCCTGATATTCTGGGGGGTGTTGAATAAATGAGGAAAGAACCCCTTACGTGTCTCGACCCACTTAAAAGTAACCGGTAGTTTTGACAATGGCATGGGCATGAAATTAATATCGATGATTCGCAGCTGCAAGGCCTTGTGTTGAATAAGCATCAGCAAACTTCCATTAGGAATTATATCAGGTTTGGTTCCTTGTTCAATCAACCAGGACAATATAAACTGACCATCGAATCTAAAATAATAAACATTAAAAAATTCATGAAAATAGTAACACAATAATATTCTTTCCAAATTCAAATAAAGAAATTACTTATGGGCAATTGCTGTATAACCCTTATGTTCCTCGCTAGACAACCATGTGCAAAAATCATGACATGCGTTGTACCCTGGAAATACCTGCTCCAATCTATCTGCCTTTTGTGCAACAGCCAGATTGACAAATGAGACATAATCAAGAGTGTGAAGAAAACCGGATCTGAAACAAATTATTTTAAATTCGGTACTGAAATAAAATTATATATTAAATAAAAATTATTTTATTATAGCACTCTTATTATTACCTTCAAAATTATCTGCATCGTTTTAAGTACAATATGTACAATGCTCATGTTCTTCCTTAAACCATTCTCGTGTACCAAACTAAAGAGCAGTGTCTAGTTTCTCCGTATTNGGGGCAGCATAAGGGGTTGAACTTTCTTTTATAATGTTATTTTTTAACAATTCCTCTATTTGTAAATCAATTTCCTGTTGTTGTTTTGGGTATGTTTTGTACGACCTTAGAGATATAGGTAAATCTGAGGTTAACCTGACTCTTTGCGGTTCCATTCTAATTTCTCCTACGTCATGTTTATGTTTCGCAAATATATCATCATAACTTTTTAAAATTTCTTTTAAGTCCACATTTTTTATCTCGCTTTCATTTTTTATTTTTTCGTCGATATTAACCTGATAATGTTTGCACCCATTACCTAGATCTATCTTCGAATCATTTGATATTTTTGGAAATTTTTTCTTTTTCCTATTTTTCCTTTTATTTTTGTTACCCTTTACATTATTTTTTTCAATGTTTACTTTTACTGAAACATCTTTAACTTTTATTTTTTCAACATTTTTACCCTTAACATTTTGAGAATTTTCCTGTCTAATGTGCAAAGATAAGTTGTCATTGTTAGAATTAGCAGAGGTGATCAATCTCTTACCAAATTGAGTAACAAGTTCCTCCTCATCTTCGGAGGGATTTTCAATTACAATAGAATTTTTTAAGTAATTAAAATCACATAAACAATTTAAAATATGTTTTGCGATTTCATTTTTATTTCCCTCACTGGAAATATTTAGAATGTCTGAAATTTTGACTAATTCCGAAAAATTAAAAATATCACAAATTTCTTTCAGTTTGTTTGAAAATTCATCATCGTTAAGTTCAAACGAAAATTCTGTAAAATTTAGAATTTTGTTACGGTTTAATCTAGAAAAATCATTTGGAAACAAAAGTTTAAATAATAACTTCATTTTGTTTGCCTTCGTTACTTTAATTGACGTTTGAACCACATCTATTTCTTTTAAAAGCAGTATAAATGCAGTATAATTACTAGCCTTTTGTGCAACAGCCAGATTGACAAATGAGACATAATCAAGAGTGTGAAGAAAACCGGATCTGAAACAAATTATTTTAAATTCGGTACTGAAATAAAATTATATATTAAATAAAAATTATTTTATTATAGCACTCTTATTATTACCTTCAAAATTATCTGCATCGTTTTAAGTACAATATGTACAATGCTCATGTTCTTCCTTAAACCATTCTCGTGTACCAAACTAAAGAGCAGTGTCTAGTTTCTCCGTATTCACACCCACCTAGGTTAACAAAAAAGCAAAATCAGGTTAATAAACCAGCAAAATCAGTAAACAATTTAAAGTTAAAGGATAGTTTTTCAGCAACCATGTATGGAGCACAGTGCTGAAGTGGTACTCTTCTGTTAGATACATACGCATACAAAGCATTAAAATCCTTAACGTATTCACATATATGAAGTGATATGGTGAATATGAATATGGTGAGTTCGCAATAATTAATTCATTCTCAAGTTGTTGTTTTTTCAGTTCGAGATTCTTCTTTGGTACATTTAATTCCACAACAATAAAGCCAATGTTAATTAAGAAGCATGAATGGAATACAGTGCAGATATATGCACATATATGGAGTACAGTGCTGAAGTGGTACTCTTCTGTTAGATACATAAGCATACAAAGCATTAAAATCCTTAACATATTCACATATATGAAGTGATATGGTGAATTTTATATATGTGCTGAGTTCACAATACTTAATTCATTCTCAAGTTGTTGATTTTTTTTCAGTTCGAGATTCTTCATCGATACATTTAATTCTACAACAGTAAAGCCAATGTTAATTAAGAAGCATGAAATATCGCTATTTTTTTTTAAATTCACGCGAAAATTTTAAAGTTAAATAACGAAATAACACTTACATGTTTTGGGCTGTCAGTAGTAGGCCTAACGTTATAGGGGATGGCAATAACGTGACTTTTTTGATTTTATTGACTTTAAAATACTCGTTATTGACGGTTTTATTACCTTTATGTATTTCATAAAAATGAAATTGTACGAAGCATTTTAAGCTGCATTAACGTACTGTTTGGCGCAGCATATCCTCCTTTGGATCTTGTGCCATTAAACTCTATATTCAATCAATCATTAAAAACCATATTAGGGAGCATCGTCAGATCGAACTGAATCAGACGCTTGTTATCCTGTAAAGCTTTGTCTCGGGCTTGTTGATGTCTTTTCTTTTTTTAGCACCTGCAGATTTTTGAAGGATTGTGCAGAGCAATAGGGTCACTGCTGAGCTCGCAAACCATCTTCCTAATGGAATCAAAGTTTAAGTTTTTTGGAGTTTTTTAAAATTTAGAGAAAAACCATCGAACTTTAAATTACAACATGTTTTTCCTGAAGCGGTTTCATACCCATAATTATTCGGTCCACCTAAAATAACAAATGTTAATTTTCGATAAAATAAATCAGCGGTTAAAAAAAAGAGGAGTGCTTACTAGATATAAATTTAGTAATGGTATCATCCTCTAACTCGTCCGTGAACTCCCCTAGAAAATTCTCGAGAGGGGGGGATCATTGTTACCATCTTCGGCATAGACAATAGAGTCCGCATCGTGGTATAACACGCTTCCACCCAGCTTGTCCATTTCTTGATAAAGCTTCATTCTGGCCCAGGCTGTTGTGAAGGCCGCAATAGAGATGGTGGTCGAATCTTGGGACACAAATTTTTTCTGTGATTCCAAATGAATACCTGCTATCTCATCATTCGGTAAAAACGCATCTTTAATCTAAAAAGGAAAATATGCGATAAGTACAATAACACTGAAAAAATATTAAAAAAGTGTGTAATTAAGATTCACATACGTTTTTTGTAGGATCAGCAAACACTTTATCAAATTCCGGTACAGTTCTAACACCATCTGAAAAAAGTGGCAATGATTATAACTTGTAAATTTCATTTCATTTAAATATTGAAAAGGATTTAATTTTTACATACCGTCCTCAAAAACTGTTCTATAGCAATTTTGCCACCTGCCTTCTTCCTTAATTTTTTAAGATTTTAAAATATTCCAGAGCTACTCTTTTCTTTTTCAAAATACAAGTTGTAGGTGCGGTATGGCCAAAAATGGCTTTTGCGACAATAATTCTTAATAAACTTTAAAAATTTTTTTTTTCAAAATACTCTTCAATGTGCCTCATTTTATCTTCTTCCGTGACGGAATTGAAGGCCACCCGCTTGCTTCCTGCTTGATTTTTAAGAACAAATCAATAAAATCACGAAACAGTGAATCAGACGTTTCGTTGAAGTGATAAACTTCGGGAGATTTTTTTCCCAAAAGAATGATTGTATATTATAATAAGAATTATCTAGTCAAATAAATCTAACTTTAACACTTTCGCTACCGGAACGCCTCGTGAACTAAACTACCGAAAACGCCCGAAGTGCCCGTAAAACTAGTTAGAAATTCTCCCCCCTTTTCGAAAAATGACGCACAATGGGAGAGGTGTGGCAGTAATCGTCCTTGAAGGAAATTTACGAAAAAGGGGAAAGAATAGAGGGATTTTTCAACAAAAGTTTGGTTCATATCTTTCTGCTCTTGTAAAGTTGTTTTCTCTTTTTTTTGTATATATATAAATGAGGAGGTGTGAATAGATTGCCTCCTCATTTAGATAATTAAATTAATTAATAAAAATAATTAGCTGGTATATTAAACGAAGTATTGGAAACAAATAGCAAAAAATTTAATCTGGATTATTCGTATCATACACATGGCGAGAAGCGCCAAAAATTAGTGATTAACAAGGTACAGGCGTTTACAACATTATATTCAAATGTTTTACATATACGAGTGACTGTTTAAAAACTACATGTAAGAGGCACGTCTCGTGCATGTGCAAATCACATGCTAAATGCATACCTGTTATTTGCTCTTCTAAGAATATAGTGTCTGTTTTACTTACAAATTNGCGCCAAAAATTAGTGATTAACAAGGTACAGGCGTTTACAACACTATATTCAAATGTTTTACATATACGAGTGACTGTTTAAAAACTACATGTAAGAGGCACGTCTCGTGCATGTGCAAATCACATGCTAAATGCATACCTGTTATTTGCTCTTCTAAGAATCTGTCTGTTTTACTTCTAATCTAATGCTCTTCTAAGAATCTGTCTGTTTTACTTACAAATTTCAGCTCCCCATTTGTAGAGCACCCTGCTGATATCAGTGAAATAATGTAAAACTTATTGTATTATATATTCTATATAGTAATTAACTCTTCTTTACCTGAATTTTTTTCCTATCTAGCTAACTCTATCAGAGATGACTTATATATTATTTTGTTAGAATTGAACCTGTATCAATCATGATGATTTCTAATGCAACTGACCTGGGCATTAAATGAAATAAATAAAAGTACATAGATTATCACTAAATGTCAAGTTTTCTACTATGTTTTGCAAATTTATTCAATTTCTTTTATTCTTGCTACTTTATACATCAACGAAATTGTTAAACGAAAAGGTTCACACATTAAAGTGTTAGCATAGGTTATAACACAACTTAGGTAGCATGCATAATCATACAGGGGTAAAAGCATCATAAAATACCATTCTGATAAAATATTTGGAAAAGCAACACTGTTTCCCTTTTTAAATATCAAAATTTTTGTATTTTTTAATTAGAAAACATCAAAATTATTGTATTAGAATATGTCATGATAAAGCTATCTATATTTAAAAATAATTACTCCAATTAAATAATAGCTTCTCTCTCTTTCTTTCTTTAAAAAAAAATAGTTTCATTGAAATAGATAAACAATGAAAATATAAACAAATTTAATCAAATTGCCGCTTAAAGACTTTCTAAGAATGGGAAATTTAAAAAAAATAATTCTATGTACACAGCTTAATAGTCATCATAGTGAATATTTATCGGTAATGTCTTATTCAAACACCTTTGAATTGCTCTTTGCTGTCAGGCTAACAATCGACTTCCATTTTAATTTTGCCATTACATAAAGCAAAATATATTTAGTTTAATTCATATGTATATTAAGTATGTTAATTCCAATTGTATTTTTCTGAGTTTCAACAGTTTTGAATTAAAAACATAAGAGAGTTTTAGCTATATTCTTCTTAAATAATTCAAATGCTGTTTAGTTTTACTTACTAAGAAATATCCTTCATGTTTCAAAAAAAGTTTAATCAAAATTGCTTATTTTGCTTAATGAGAAGGAGAAAGAATAACAAATTTTAAATAACTTATAATGCAAATGATTGATCACACAAAAAAATAAATAAATAAAATAAAAGATTTCTCCCTTTGCTTTTTAGTATCACTTGGAAACAATAATCTTACAAATGGTATTACAATGGATAATGTGATGATCATCCATGTCAAACTGACCATGGAGTTAGAACACATGCCAGAAGTAATAGATCTTTTAGCCATAGAAATATGTTAGAAGTGTACACGGCGAGGAGGTAGATCACTCCTCAGTATTATATTTGCGATAAAATTTGCTAAATAAATACATGTGATTCAATAAATTTTAGTATTAAATGTCGAGGAGGTACATCACTCCTCAGCATTATATTTGCGATAAAATTTGCTAAATAAATACATGTGATTCAATAACTTTTAGTATTAAATGTTAAATAAAACAACAACTACTTCCACTACTACAATTGATTGCTTGATGGAAAAATCGGTTACAGTTAATTTGTTTTAGTTTATAAATTTGGTGGTGCGCCATCTGCTGTCAGATTGCCAGTGCCATCTGTTGAGAGTCTGAGGAGACAGCAAGTTGCCGCATATATAAACGAAAATGTCTATTCGCCGTAAAGGTCTTTCGACCGAAGAAGCTTTGAAAATAATTTTCAATGATGAGACAGATGACTCTGATTTTAATGAATTAGGGGATGAAGAAGAATTCGATGATGTGGCACCAACTGAAACCACTATTACCCCTAACGATAGCAGTAATAGTGATGAGGAAGATGATGAATAAAATCCAGTAGAATATGATTGGGCTTCTGACGTGAGAAATGAAAATATTTTTGTCTAAATTCAGAGCCAAACCGTGGATTACTACCAGATTCGTCACTGTTAGATTATTTAAAGCTCTATTTGACTGATGAGCTTTGCAAATCAGTTATAGAAAATACTAACAAATATGCGGAGTTTTGCCAAAAACAGAAAAACATAGAGGACACAAACTGGAGCCCATTGACTTCTAATAACGAATTGTAGTGTTTTTTTTTGGCATTTTACTCAGCATGAGTTTAGTGAAAATGTCTAAAAAACTGATGAGTAGGAACCGTTTTTTGAAAATCAAACATTATTTTCACATCTCTGATAGAGAGTCAGAAAATGGATGAAAACTATAGATATTCGTAAAAAGTTCAGCCGATGTTTGATCAAATCCAGGAAAATTTTAGGAAGCACTTAATTCCATACGGAGGGAACTTTGTTGATGAAGCTTTATTGAAGTAAAAAGGAAGGCTTGGCATAGGTCAGTATATGCCCCTTAAACCTGCAAAACGTGGCATAAAATTATGGATGCTCTGTACTTCAAAGCATGGGTATATTTTGAGCTTTGATCTGTATGGAGAAAAACAGGTTAATGTCAAAAGAAGTGGGAAAGATTTGGGATATGACGTTGTGATGCATATGACGCAAACTTTAAACAAAATTCAGGACACGTAATTTATTTTGACGGATTTTTTTTCTAGTCCAACTTTAATGTATGATTTATATCGATCTGGTCACTATGCATGCGGCACTCTTATGCCGAATAGAAAAAATTTGCCGGAAGACATAAAACAAACTTAACATTACAGACTTAAACATGATTCTTTACAATACATAACCATGATAGCAGGATATTAAAATTAATAAAATAAAAAACACTCCAGAATACAAAACTAATAGAAAGTTAAAAGTAACAAACATCAAATATGAATACCATGATCATACTAACCTGAATACCTTGGGATACTTACCTCTAGGATAAAATAAAATTTCAGTATAAAATTTACGGCCCTATCACATAACATCGAGGTTAAAGAATTACAAATATTGTTTCAAAATGAAGAGGTAATTGTAAACTACAAATAAAATGTTCTAATACAGAATAGTCACAAGAGAGGAGAATGTAATAATGCAGTCTGAAGGTATAAAAAAATACATTTAAAATAAGAGGTAACAACTCAAATAAAACATTAATTATGCAAGTGTTCATTGGAGGCTAAACTTGTCGATGAAAATTTGCCGCAGATCTTCTTCCAAACACAGAGATGCACCCGTAAAATACTTTCAAACCGCCAATTTCAACTACCTATAAGTATTAAATTTATTAAATATAAAAATAGATAACAGACTAATACCAATTTCAAACAAACTGTAAACAAAAGCTGACATGTACTTATCGTCACTTAGTATAGGATTCGTAATGTTCACCAACCCACATATCGTTATCAGGATATCGTCGATTACATCCATCATGTGCCAATGAAGCGGACCTTTTAATAACTTGAAAATCTTCAACCTTTGGTTAAGACGTTCGATGTGAACTCTAGCGGAGGCAATCACTTTAGTCATTGAAACTTGATTTTCTGCAAGCTGTGTCTTTTGCCTTAAAAACGGGGGCCTAAAAAGAGTTATATGATTCTCTTTGCATACGTCTTCAAATTTAAAACCTTTATCCACCATCACAGCATCCACCAGGGGCTCTAACATGTGAAGCACGTTGCTTTGGCGAATGATGCAACTGTCACTGGTTCGCCCACCATATGCCTGGCTAACAAAGCAGATTACGCCTCCAGGTGAACAGCCAACCAGAAGCTTAACTGTGTGATCAGAATAATAATTGGAATAAGTCCTAACCCTACAATTCAGACAGCTTGGTTTCTCCACAACAACCTCTGTGCAATCAAATACTACACGTACATTTTGAAAAAGCTTAAAACAGTTTGGCATATTCTCCATAACATGCTCTTTCGTTGGCCAAAATATAAAGTTCTGAAAATGGTCAGCCAAAGCAGTGAGAACCTGTTAGGGATAAAAATTTTTAAAAAATAACAAATTTGAAAATACATCAAACAATCCATGTATATGAAAAGCCATAAATTAATCCATGTCTTACCTCCTTAAAAATAATTTTCACCAAATTCGGTGTACAACCAAACAGAATAGCAGCATAGCTGTAAGATTGATTCTGCTTGATAATTTGAAAAGCCAAAAATATCTGATGTGTGGCATCAATCTTTCTTTTGGTCAATCGAGGGTCCACGTCAGCAACAATCTGATGAAGTAGTTGAAAAGAGGTCAAACCCGTAGCAGTATTTAGTTGCTTCTCCGTTAAACTCGAAACATTGACTAAAATAAGAGAAGCCAAATCTCCACTGTGTCCCTCCTTCCATTTGACATTCTTACTCGGGAAGTGAAGGAGCCTCAATAAGGGGAGCAGCTTGTTTCTTCCTAAAAATAAAAAACCTTTAAGACTCTTGTATGGAATCTAATGAAAATCCTTTCTGCTTTGTAATACTAAAGCTTTGTAATACCACATTACTAAAAGTCTTACATCTTTTAGGTCAACTTAATTTTCAATATATTTCAGGATTCCAATTATAAAGTTAGACATTTCAAAATTGCCAAGTATTATCTTGCAATTTAAAATAGACTGTAAAAGAAAACTTTGATATTAACAGTATAGTTGACAGTTGATAAAAACCTAATATACTTACGGCATTCACCAATCAATATAGAAAAAAATGTTAATAATTTAACAGTTCTAATCCATCATTTCAACTTCGATTGAAAGAGATAATGTTAAAGTATATTAAATAGAAAAAAACTTAAAAAGAGAGACTGATAAAATTTTGATAAGTGATAGCTTAATTTTCTCGTTTAAATTACAAAATTTATCATCATAAATATTTAAAAAGAAATTTATTATAGACACCTGCACCAAAATAATCATTAAGTTATGGTAATATTAAAAGCAGCGTGCAATTTTTTTAGAAATAAAACGAAGAAAACTTAATGAGGATAACTCATAGCCACCACCGACATACATAATTCTTTGTAAATACAAAAAAAATACTTGTTACTTTGGAAAATTGTAGTTAACAGATGAAAAGGCACCTAAATACAAAAATATTTCCACTTAACGTTTCTCACAAACATTTTGAAAGCACTTACAGTTCAAGAGCTTTTCGGCGCCTAGCATGTTCTAATGCAATTTTTTTTGCTCTTTCAACATAGGTGTTAATTACAGTTGAAGGCGGCAGATAGGAATAGCATCCTATTTTAAATTAGGCCTCCGCGTAGGAATATCTGAAAGAAAGAACAGATCATTAATCAGAAGCAGAGCAAGGAGTTTTATCTAATCTTTTTCTTGCAGAAACAGTTCTGTAATCCTAACTGTAAATTAAAATTACTCCATCAAAATAATTTCTGGTTTTTATTTCAAAATACTGAAAATCTTTTAACATTCTCGCATGAAAACATGGATTACTTTGGTTGGTAGATACACATAATTGCTAAAAACATACAGTTTCAAAAATTAAATTACACAATGAATTGATTTAAAAAAATATATAGTATACACTTATGATAAAACTAATAATTAATCTAGTTTAATTAAAATCAACCCTGAAGAATTCAAAATTGATTATATAATCGAAGTCAAAAAGAAAGTTATAAAATGAAACCTTCTTCCAAAAAGTAGCTTCTTAAAATATGGAAATGTGTTTCACAATTTATTAAAAAAAAATTGCATGGAAGACACATGTAAAACGTGGTATGATTGCATTTGCATATATTTTGTAAATAAATTGAATTACAATAAGCTCAATCTCAATTTGTGGAACACTGGACATATTTTGTATTCCAAATACGGAATTCTCTTTTATAAAATAGTAAACTTATTACTCTCTTATTGACTTAAATTACTTTTACTTATTACTTTCTTATCGTCACTTGAAAATGAATCTGTTTGATTACTGTAGTAATCAAGAAATGCATAGCTGTACTGATTTAAAAACGTTCTTTTATAAAGATTTCAAAAATAGATAAATAAAAATATAACACACAAATCATGCGAACCTTGGAATGTTAAATCAATAGCCATTGCAACACACATCTACCCTTGTTTACGAATGCATTATATAACTTAAATTATGCATAAAATTGAAATGAAGAAAGGGCAAGCTTATTAAAGTAATTGGACAGGACAAATGAAGTCTGAAGCTTTAAAGTGTTGACTACATACTCGAATTCCAGAACTGACATCCTTTCCAATGCGTAACTCGTGTATCCATTGCTTGCGTCTTTTTCCGTCAGAAATCTTTGGAGATATGTGAAAACTAACAGAAGGATTTTTAAAAGCGTACGTAGAACAACGAGGTACACAACAGTACGATTTATCTAACTTATTTAAATTTTTTCTAACTATTATTCTACTCATGATAATTTGAGATACTAGAACCAATTAGCACGTCCGACTCTCTTCGAGACTTACAAGCAACTGAAGGAATAAGCGATGGAGGGGGCGGAGCTACGACATGGAATTGGTTTTTCTCCACAGATGGCGTATTCGAGCGTTGCGATCGCGAATCATGAAAGTGCATCTTGGCAATGCCTTTCCTTACCAAATATGCTCTGCACAAAATGGATCGACAAAAAACAAGTATATATGTTCTCAACAAACGTTAAAAATGAAAACAAAATAGTCCAAAGAAGAAAAGGATGTGAAAAAATTGACGTATGTTGCCCAGCATCTTTTGAAATGTTCAGCAAATTTATGGGCGATGTAAATCTTGCTGATCAGAATCGTAAGTACTATTCTGTTAGCAGAAAGTCTTCAAAATGACGTATGTTGCCCAGCATCTTTTGAAATGTACAACAAATTTATGGGCGGTGTAGATCTTGCTGATCAGAATCGTAAGTACTATTCTGTTAGTTACCACCATTTTGAAGACTTTCTACTATCTTTTTTCCATTGTAATAGGCACCGCCATTAATAATGCATTTATTTTGAAAACGACGTCGGAACAATCTAAAAGTAAAAATTCTCTTTATCATTTTAAAAATGAATTCATTCACAACATAGAAATAAGTCATCTGATACAACGCAAATGTCCTTTTCTAGATTACTCACCTCAGCTAATCATGTGCATAAAAGAAGAAAAATTGACGGTCGTTAGAGAATCTGCATGAAATGTAAGCATATGAATAGGAAAACTCTTTCGGATAAAAGCATTCATAGCACTTGAGAATGCGAAACATGTAAAATGTGCCTGTGTAAATAATGTTTTGATTAATTGATATTTTTCTTATTTTATAAAAAAATCTTTATATGTCTAAAAAATATCGCAATCATAAAACATTTGGAAGATAGATAACAATGCAGTTATTTTTACATTGTTTTAGCATTGAATTGTGTCATTTTTAATTGAAAAATCTATTTAAAAAAGGCGAAGTAAAACACAAAATGTATTTATATATATTGAATTAAATAATATACTAAATTTTGGCTAATACATACATCTAATTTTTATTAAATCTTTTGTTTAAAAATTTTTTTATATTTTTTTCCTAATTATTTTGTATGGCAATCAAATTTATATCATATGGATGCTAAATAAAAAAAGTAATTATAAGACACACATTATACAATAATAAACATATAAGTGTTTATAAACAAAAGCATATCATCTATTTTTTAGATATTTTTTGTCATTTAAATGGAATTAGGAAAAATATTTTACCTATCTTATACCGTGAATAAATAATATTCTGCATAATATTTTGAACAACTTTTAAATTGCTTTAAATAAAGATATCAATGCCATTTTGTTTTCATCAACACTGTTAGAGGGGATGCATACTTGCTTTTTATTTATTTTTACCTTATTGTGAATATCATATATTATTTATTGTATTTAAGTTACAAGTTTTATTTATTGATTTATTTTTTTAAAAGGCTTAAATTAGTAAATACATAGTATCAAGTTATAATACAAGTAATATGCTTTATTTTGTCTTTTTATGTCAAATATATTGTTAATCATGAATATTGCACAAAACACTATTAATTTTGAGTTAATTTTCTAAACTTTATTTTTGGCTTTATAGCATAAAAAAAAAATATTGTTTGTAAATATAAATGTATTTTTATTGTTCAGACATTATTTGAAAATTTACCTCAATATATCTTGATTAATTTATTTTATGTTGTGAATTAATAATATTCTGCATGTCTATGATGGAAGAATATATATATTTAGGTAATTTAGGATTAATAATATTTAGGATTAAATATTTTCAAAACAGGTTTACAAATTAAAGAATTTTTTTAATATTTCGAATGCTTCTTGACAATTGAGAGTCCAACACCACACATTTGAAGAAATTTAACATTAGTTAGAGGTTTGAAATTTTTAATTGATTCAATGTTGTTGATATCAGGAGTTACTATACCATATCATAACCAAAAAATTGAATTTTAGTTTGCAAAAAAGAGCATTTAGAAGCTTTTAAGTTTTCAAATCTACATATTTCAATAATTTCTTTAAGATGATTTCAATGTTCTTCAAAACTATTATATTACAAGGTTAATTTGAATTTGCCAGAAACCATTTACAGTATCAAGTCTACTAAAATAAGCACTATTCCCTAATTTATCTATGAGAGTTTCTATAAGAGGTAATGGCTCTGCATCCGATTTAGTAATTTGACAGCACTTATTATTAAATATTTAAGAAGAGGAGTACATAGGAAGAGTACTTGAAACTTGCTCTAAGCACTTATAAATAAAGGATCTGTAAAAAATGTGGTTATAAATGCTAACAACAGGCTAAAAAGTTTATGATTGTATTTTTTTGCCTCCGAAATATTATGCATTCTGAATACATTCAACATTAAAAGCCTTGTAGAACTCAAGATATTATAATATTTATTATAAGATTAAAATATTGTAATATAATAAATACATTTGTTAAAACAATTTTCGATTCAAAAAAAGAAGAGAAAGCAATGTTTTAAGGCTAGATAGGTAGCTATAGGTTACCACAATTTTCAATGTTTATGTACTACATTATACAAGCGAAATGCGAAAAAATCAAAAGTCATCCCTTTAAAGAAACATTTAAATTAAATTTATCTATTAATATTCGTTTCTAGCCAGTGTTGAGAAGGAAAAAAAAATATTTTAAAATCAAAACTCATAATGAAAATAAAATATCTACTTTAAAAAAAGGATACTCATAAAAAATTAGATTTGAAAAATCTGGGTTAATAAATTTTTTTTTTTAAATTGGTAATCCTTAGTGGGATTGTGATATTTCCTTTTTATGATAGCCTCAATAAAATATGTGTAACAAACTTAATAAATTTTATAATCAAATCAACCGCATAATGCGTTAGAAGTTCACATTTCCATTAACAAGTTTTAAATGTATAGATGGCACCACCTGTACAGTATTGAATTTCGCTTTCTAATCTAGTTCTCCTATTTATTAAAACAAATATCGCAATATCATTTCATATGTTTTAATTTTCTCTTATAAAGAAATTGTAAAGAACAGCTCTTTTATTCCATAGCTTTAATAGTGAACTTTTTGTGGAAATTTGAAATCAGAATATTCTGTGTACATTACTTGACTCAGTTTATAATGAATTTTATTATAGTGCTGCCATCTATAATCCTTATTCAAAACTGCCTATTTTAATTAATTTGAAAACTTCACTTGTAACTAAATATAAAATTGATACACCTTCTAGATTTTGAAATTTTACGGTAAATTTTCTCTTATTTGGTAACTTTCTTTTTTTTATTAATAATGAGACTTTTTTCGACATCAATTACTTTGGTGATCTCCTGAATAGTGAGTGAACTGAATACATCTTTGAAATAGATTTCAATTTGACGATTTTGTTTGGGGGAGAGGATAAGATTAAACAAAATATAAATTTATTTTTAATGAGTTGGTGTGATAATTAAATGTGATCACATCAAAAATAAAATTTAAGTTCTCTTGACGTCTTATTAAAAATTAAAGTATTTTCAGAAATGATTTAAATAGTTTTATGTCATATCTTTTTTTAAATTTAATTTTGAGCAAACAACTTAGTAAAAGTTTTACTTTTTGATGTCTGTGTTATTTTTTTAAAGAAATTCAAGTATTTAGTTCAGTTAAACAAATAATAACATTAAACATGCAAGGAAAAAATTTAGAACGTATTAAAGAGAAAAATAATAATAATTAAAAATATCCACATAAGATAAATAAATAAATTTTGAAAAAAATTATGCCTCCCATTTAATGCTATACATGAAATGGGTGTGATTATTATATAAATGTTCCTATTTTTTTTAATAGCATCTGTTTACATTTTTATACCTATTCAAATTATTAATAAAAAATTAAAATAAAATGTAATGAATATTAAAAGATATAGCTTTTTTAACTAATACTTTTATATTAAAACCTTAATTTCTATTCGGGGCTTAAGAGACTGTGCAGGTGACAATTATATAAATTGGAGAAAAAATATTAATAAAAAAAATTATTATATGCATTAAAAATTTAAAGATTTTTCTCATAAAAATTTATTTTGGATACTTTATTTTCAGGATATTTTTTACCTTTTTTAATAAAAATTTTGCAATAATTCGTTTATCAAGAAGAGAAAAATATAAATATATACACGAGGAGATTTAAGAGTAACTGAAAAAAAGATGAAGGAAATTTTAGTGAAAAAATTGAATGTAAAGATATTGTTTGCTTTTCAAAGTTTATAAAAAGTAGTTTCACTAAAAATTGCAAATTCAATAAGAAGAAGAAAAATATATCTATGAAGCAAAACATTATGCTCATCTGTACCTACCAGGTTTCGAACCTGGGACCTTCCGCGTGTTAGGCGGATGTGATAACCACTACACCATAGGTACTCATCTAGAGAGAGCAAAATAAGCTTCAAATAGATAAGGATTCATATTCATTAATAACAACAAAACAAACAAGTAGGCAACGCCATCTATTAATTTAAAACATAAATTTTGTACAGAGAACTTGTTAACAAATATGTTAAAAATTAATGTCTTAATGCTGATTCATAATGATATTC